ATATAAGCGTCTTGAGCATTTGTGGAATTTGGTATCTTTGAAGGGTCCTGGACCCATCTCCCTTAGATACCGAGACACAGACTGTGCAGTACTTGTCTCTCTGTCGAAAATTAAGCAGCAGTTACTTTCAAACCAAGGAAACTAAATAGGCAAAATCCTTCTTAAGATTTTCCTTCCTTATTTAATCACATTATGATTCTTGATCAGACTTTACTTTGACTAGTTCTGATGTGATATCTTTCTCATTCTATTAAACATTGGCAGAGAAAGCAGGGGTCTGGTGACTACCAAGAAGTGTGAACCTGGAATGGGGGAGTGGCCGCTCTCCATGGGTATATCCACACTAGATTATGTTCTCAAGAAGAAGCATACTGGAAAAAAAAGAATCTGCTTTGTTGGCCCTTTATGAAGGACCTTAATTAGAAGTCACTGTTAACTCCTGGGGTGGGAATGGTTTCCAGCTTGGCACGGGAGTTCCTCCTGCTGCTAATGAGCATACTCCTTGCAAGGACTCGCTTCTTCTGACAGTTAAAGCTGCATGTAAGAGTTATTTCTCTTCACCTCTCTCTCCACATTTAACTGTTACTGCCCAAGTTCAGAGTAGGCAAGTAGACTGTTAGGTGTTTTCAGGAAATTGGCAGTGCCTCAGGGTAACAAGCAATGATACTTGTGAGCAAAAGTAAATCATTAAAGTTTAATTTATTCAAATATGGGCAGTAGATGATTCCTTTTATGTCAGCCATGTTTGGATCTTTTTTTTTTTTCCTTCCTGGTAGTCTTTTTCTAATTGACCTAAAACTTATAAATAAATAGTTGAATTATTTAATTCATTATCATGTCATTAGAACCCCTGCCCTGGACATCTGTTTCTCTTATTTAAGCAGCTCGCCCCATGGCACGAAGGTTTAGTTAACTAATTAGCAGAGGAAATGTAAATTTCTTTTTTTTTTTTTTTTTTTTTTTGAGACGGAGTCTCGCTGTGTCTCCCAGGCTGGAGTGCAGTGGCGTGATCTCGGCTCACTGCAAGCTCCGCCTCCCGGGTTCACGCCATTCTCCCGCCTCAGACTCCCAAGTAGCTGGGACTACAGGCGCCCGCCACCACGCCCGGCTAGTTTTTTGTATTTTTAGTAGAGACGGGGTTTCACCATGTTAGCCAGGATAGTCTCGATCTCCTGACCTCGTGATCCACCCGCCTCGGCCTCCCAAAGTGCTGGGATTACAGGCTTGAGCCACCGCGCCCGGCCGGAAATGTAAATTTCTTATGCAAGGAGGATGATTCTATAGATTACTATTTATTTCATTAGCTTCTCATTAAAAGTTGACTTGTGAGAAAATGCCAGAGAATGGTTTGCTTCTCCAAGAAATTACACAGACATAGTCACCTTCTTGGACAATAGCATGTGGAGGATAGTGAGCAGTTTGGGAAGCTTATTTACCCTCGCTCTTTGTGGGAGGGAGCATTAGAGAGCATCTAACAGATCTTCATCTAGGGAAGAGTAAGTGGGGATATTCCAGAGCTTCAAAGGTGTGGATCTCTGACTAGCTGGAATAGTTCCTTGATTCTAAAACATAACACATTCTGTTAGACATTTTTTCTGCCTTGGTTTAGAATCATCTAGGACTGCTTCCTGGGGCCCAGACTTTCTATATACATGGATGCCTTTGGTCATAGACTTTACAGATGCTGGGATATTGATTGTCAGAGGACTGACTAGGGCTTAATGGTGTTCTTTTAGGATGACCAGTATATCATACCAGAAGCTGTGGCAGCATCAGAAACCTCCTTTAGGATTCATTGTTCAAGAATATTCCATGCCTACTGCCTACCAGAAGAAATAACTCAGTGGTCATTTTATTAATGTGGAATAGATCAAGGAAAATCTCAGCATGGGACCATGTAGATATTCCTTAGTGTTGCTGTTGAATGCCCATTGGTCAGATAAGGTGGGGAATTAAGAGAAAAAGAGGTGAAAACTGCACAGGCCTCCTAACTTTGCAGGGCAGGGGTCGGGGGGACCCATCAAAGTGGGTTGTTTGGTGATGACTAACGATTGTGATTATGTAAATATGAATTCTGTTTCTCAGCCATAGGACTCATACATTAAAAAAAAAAAAATTTCTTCACATATCTAACTCCCTTACTTATTTGGACATAGTTAGCTTATGGATAACATTGCCACACTCAAATTCTTTTTGTCTTTTCTTTATTTTTTCCCCCAGTTTCATTGACACAGTGAAATTAAATTGTCTTCTCCTTGCAGCAAAGGTTTGTTTTAGAAATGGAGGTGGGTGCTTTGCGAATGGACAACGTGTTTGACAGTTTGGGATAGATTCATGTAGAAAGAGCTCTAAATGTGAACTCTTCATTTTCAGACACAGAGGTGTGAAAGAAAGGGGCTCAGGGTCTGAGCAGTTCTCTGTTAGATTAGAGGTGTGCTGGCATTGTGCCAGGGCCCTCCAGATTTTAATCATATTAATAATGAAAAGGCTTCAGCTGCCTCCCCATCTTGTGCTGACACCTGCCTCCCAATGGGAGTAACTTCCTATAAGGATGCTTTGAATTTAGGACTTTGTCTCAGAAAAAAACATTTTTTGTTACAGTTTTTACTCTAGAATTTTCTCGTTACAAAAAAAAAAAAAAGGTCTAAATAGAGTTATTAATAAAAATAGAGCCATTGCTGGTTTGTGTAAAAGGACATCCCCAGAGAGCAGTGTGGCTCATACAAGGTGAATTTCTTTCAGCTGACTGCTTTGTAATGATTTACATTTAAATTGTTGCTTGTTGCTCTTGCAGAAGAAGGGAGAGAGCCTGCCCTATCTGCGGCCACCTTAGTCACCACATTGACTGGGCCTAGGCCTAGATGGCTTTGCTCAGCAGAGCTGGGAAATAGGCTGAACTTGCTTTCGGTTGTTTTCATCAGAGGTCTTATTTAGTTGGTTTGTATTGGGGCAAAATGTCATGTAGGACTGGAAGAATTAAATGAGATGAAAAATGAAGTCTGTAGTTGCTAAGAATGGTGCAGGGCCTCCATATGCCAGTACAGCACAGCAGGGCTGGGCGACTATGAGCAAACTACCAGCATCACCATCAGGGTCCACTGAACAATCTTGGGTGAAGTGCAGCATCTTCCTCACACACAGGGAGGCTAGGAAAGGGCATACAGACAGCCTTCACTAAAATACATCCTACAGGCTGTGGCTTCTCACTAGACCCACTTTAAGTAGAACATTAGGACTGCCTAGGAGACAAATTCATTCATTCAAGAAATATTTATTGAGCATAGGCATGGAGGGAACATCAGTGAACAAAGCAGGTGAAATTTCCTGCCCTCTTGGAGTTTATTTTCTTTTAGGGCATAATGTTAAAGATAAGTGCTGTGGAGGAATAAAAGACAAGGAAACAGAGGAGGGGAAGTGCTAAGAATGGGGATTCAATGATCTAGAAGTGATGATCAGGGAAGAAGCCTTCAGTGAAAATGTGACTTTGCAAAATAAAATTTAAAAGAAAATGTGACATTGGAGCAAATATATAAAAGAGATATAAAAAATGGCATATGCAGGGCCTTCATATGCCATTACAGTGCAGCAGGGCTGGGGGACTGTGAGCAAACTACCATCGGGGGCCTGGGTGATAAAAGAGATAAGATCCCATGTAGATCTGGGTGAAGATTGTTTCAAATAGAGGGACAGAAGGTACAAAGTCCCACAGGTAGGGGACAATAAGGAGGCTAGTGTAGATAAGCAAAGGAAGGAAAGCAGCAGGAGCTGAGCGTGGGGCAAGTCATGCAGGGTATTCGACAGTCTAAGTATCTGGACTTTTACTCTGACAAGAGGAGCTATTAGAGGGTTTTGAGCAGGGAAGTAACATGATTCTAACTTGATTTTTGACAGAGTCACTTGTGTGCTATATGGAGAATAGATTGTAGAGACAACGGGGTGAGCAGAGAGACTAGTGAAGAGGCTCTTGTAGTAGGCTTGATGAGTTGGTAATGGCTTAGACCAAGGTGGGAGTGACAGAGGGGTGAGAAGGTGTGGCATCTGGATTATTTTGAGGCAGACTGTTTAGGAGACTCCCTTCTAGAGGTAATTTAGCACGAACAACTTTGGAACTTGGTAAGAGGTACGTCGTGGGTATGCAGGCAGCTATTTCAGGAGTACAGAGCCCGAGAGAGCTGCCCAGTTTGTTGAAGGCAAGAGTCATTTATAGCCTTGCCTGTGATAAGAACTTTATTGCATCTTAATTACTTTTTTGAGGTTATATAAGACACAGTTGTCACAGAGTACACCCCATTTTGGCTCCACCTCAAGGTGGGGTGCCCAGTGCTGCTGCTGCACCACACCATAGTGGAGGTCATAGGGCAGCTTGCATGTGCACCAGCAGAGGTGCCCCTTCATTCATTCTGAATCAAATTGAACTACTTGTCAGTATTAGAACCTGACTTTTGTGTCTTTAAGAGTAGAAACATGAGTAATTTTACTGTAAAAGATTACAGATCACTCATCAAACACTGGCTTTGGGAATGGAATTGTGAAAGCATAGTGATACAGAGATAACATTAGACATAGTCCCATCTTTAAAGAATTACAGTCTACTTGAGGACAAGCAAATACCCAAGAAAAGATACCTAACCAATACAGGCAGCATCTAGGTCGTCCCAGCAAGGGGATACAAAGACAGGACCCCATTTCTAGCTGGAATGGTCTCTTCATAGAATCTCAGCTTTTTTAAAAAAACAACAACATAGAACTGGTTTTCGTTGAGCCACCCGCACTCTCCTCTCCAGCTCAGGCCTAGCTTGTTAGAAGTCAGCACTAAAGGTACATGCTTGTCATGGTTTGTGCAATATAAACCAAGCAAGTCAGAACTGGCTCTCATGGGTCTGATTCCTTACTGGACAAGGGCAGTAGCCCGGTCAGGAGAATGCCTGGAAATACATTAATCAACTGTGCTTGCCAGGCCAAGCACTAATCCTGATCCCCAAATATGTTGTTTTGGTCAGATTCACACTCTGAGAATGAGGCTTCACCAGTAAAACGGCCACGACTACTGGAGAATACGGAACGGTCCGAGGAAACCAGTCGATCTAAACAGAAGAGTCGACGTCGGTGCTTCCAGTGCCAAACCAAACTGGAGCTGGTGCAGCAGGAATTGGGATCGTGTCGCTGCGGTAAGCATCTCCCCCAGTGGCATGATGGAGACTATATCCCTTGGCCCAGCTTTGGGAATTAAGTGGCTGAAGTCTTTCGTTCTTCTGAGTACTGTAAGTTTGCTACAGTAGTGCCTGCGATGTAAGTTTGGGGCTTGAGAAATCAGGAGTACAGGATGTTTGCCTCTAAACACCCTTTATTCTCATGCATGCAAAAAAGACAAAAACATCCCCCTGTTCTTATGCATCTCTCCTTAGAGCTACATCTCACCGCTTAGTGCTTTCAGCTTCCCCCCACCACTTACTACTTTGGTTTCTTCTCACGACGTCAGAAATTTACCAAACAAAATTCCGGAGTATGTACCATAAAATTCAGATATTAAGTTAATTTTGAATGAACTTACTATTTATGGAAGACTTTTTTCTCCATCTCCCTGTTAAATTAAGCTTTGATTAGAAAGTTTCCTTTGAACCTTAGTTCATCTAGTCAGTTAATACCTTGAAATCGCCTTTTTTATTTTTATTTTTTCTGGGCTGAATTCATCCTTCTGCCTCTGCCTCACAAAGTGCTGGGATTACAGGCATGAGCCACCATATACCCAGTCGGAAATAGCTTTACAATCACCTTTCCTTCTGTATTCTGTAGTGTAATACCTTTTAGAATTGCTGCACAGGGATGCCTACCTGCAGTGGAACAAAACTTAAGTCAGCCTTTTCTCTCTTCATGACCACATGTATCATGACACATAGGAATAAAATTGTGTAGCGGCATTATTTTAGGCTGATTTAGTTTCCTGTACTTTTGTTTATTCCCTGGTTTTAAAACATAATGTTATAAAATTGTTTGAGGACCAGTTCAGCTGTCATCAGGCTGACTGTGAGACCTGACTGTAGCCTCTGAGAATCCTATTTCTTTCTTTCTGAGAAGTGAACTTTAGAAGCCCCCTTTCACTTCTGGGACAGCCGAAGATATCCCACAAGTACTATTGCCGACAGTCAGGACTAAATAGTTCACTCAGCAGTTATAAAGTAATAGTCACTGGAAGTTTACCATCTCCTGAAGCGGCAGCCTCTGCTGCTACGGTTCCTCAATTATCTGCCCTATTGGAAATGGGAAGGAAGAGAGAGGATATTAGCTTTTCATAGAAACTAAGTCAGAACTCCTGTTCCTGTTATGACCAGATACCTGTTTGTTACACATTCTGGTGTATGTGTTACTCCACAAGATTAGAAGTGCATGTTCAACTGCAGAAACCGGAACCAGCATGGGGAGTCTTAAATGTTACCAGATAAGGTTTTTAGGGCATTTTGGTTATAGTACTAAGCATTTTTGGGAAACCGTAAAGAAGGTTAGGATAGGTGGTGGGAACAGAGGCTGACAGCAGTTTTCAGACTTCTGTGTGTTCATGCATGCAGTATGGCCCAGGCAAGTTCAGAACCTTATTATTAGGCTATTTCGATCAACCCTGCCAGACAATTTTAAATTCTTGGTGACATAAGGCAGGTGTACTGTGGTTGGCTGAGGAAACTCTGGGCTCTGCTGGCTAACTAGCTTCACTTCACACTGAAGAGGCTGCCTCATCTTTTGTGATCTGCAGTTTCTTGCTTTGGTCTTCATGTGAACTCAGGGAATTTGAGCAGTTCAGTCTGTTACCAGTGTTGTGAGCCTACTTGGTCATTTTAGCTGTTGATTTTGTAACATAGGCCTTTGGTTGTCCCTCAGTTAGAATTGTGGGATGTTCCTGAACCATCTGTTCTTGTTTCTTCCTTGAAAGTAACTAAATCCGGGGTATTACACAGGATTTGCCATAGCGGATCAAGCAATTGGTCTATCAAGTATGCTGTCTTGCCCCCGGCAGTGGCTAATGCTTCTTCTCCTTATCAGGCAAACAGGAGATTGCACAATTTAGCACTGAGATATAAAGATATTGTAACCAGGTCTCCCAGTTTACCCTTCAGCTTTGACACAAACTACCTAATTTCCTAAGGTCTTAGCATCCACCTGAAAAAAAAAAAAAACAGTAATACATGTTAGATGACTTCACATTCACCCAAGTAAAGCCCACATGTCTAATCTCTGGTAAATATAGATTACTCTGCCATATTCTTAACCTTTGTGGGCAGGAGGCTGAATTGCTAAATGCGTATTGGGTTTGTTGCAATATGCATCCTTTTTAAATGTTCTGACATGTAGTCTCTGGGCTTGTGCCCAATTCTGAGAGTCTACTTATAGGGAGATTTGACTTTTTCTGTTGGAGAAGAAAGCCCTGAGCTTTCTGAAGTCTCAACAAGATGTAACTTTCCTAGAGACAGCTGGGCATTCGATTTGACCCACTGAGAGTATTCCACTTATGTGCCCAGAAAAATTACTGAGTCAACTGCTACCCTTCAAAAGATAAGGACAACAATGGGAACATACCGTTAAAAAAGTCTGGGACTGTCTTTGACAAATAGCTCTTGTGTTCCTCCTGCCTGCTTGGATCTCTCTAGGAAAGGGTGAGTTGTACAGTTATTTCCTTGAGGATGCATGGATGTTGGAGAGATGTTTAACTGCCCTGAAAGGTTTTAGTAGGGGGATAACACGGTAATTTACTACTGAAAGTGAAGACTCAGGAAGGTAGTTTGAACTCAAACAGAACACTTCTTCACTGCAGAAAATCTTTTTTTATATATATATTTGCAATCTTTTCTTCCATTTGCCTTCCATTCTGTACAGGTTATTAACTGCTGACAAGAAATTCACATCTCATAAATAATGCTTAAGAGCCATTGCTATATAAATTGAATGTGTTATGAATTGTGATGGGCCTTTTTGTAGCATTCGATGCCTAAAGCAGGAAGAACAGAGGATGTCATTTTCATTAATTTCTAATGAGGTGCCAATTAAAGGCAGGGAAGACCTCCAAAGGGAACAGTGGCCAAGCTCCCCTGAATCCTCTGCCCCAGGGCTGTCATCCAAACACTGCCAGTGAAGCCTTCTCTAAAAATTCCATTAAATTACAGTCTCATCGAGAGCACACACAGACACATTCAGCTTCCCTTTGATCTTCAAAAGAGCAATTTGTAAGGCGAGTTCTGAGCCTTCTTACATAGGGAACAGCTAGAGGTGATAGGAATTGTTGATTGCCAAGACACTCCATGGGCTTTCAATAAGGAGGAATTTTGAAGAGGAATTCTCCTCTGCCTCACTGTGACTAGATAACCTTTAAATCGACAATACCAAAGTAACACCCTTTTCTTGTGAAATCTTTCAGGGTGCCAATTAGAAAAGGCATGTGGTTGTGAGATTGGGATGATATCCTGCATCTTAGAGCATCTTCAGTAGTTTAACTTCTCAAGATAGAAAACAAGTACCTGAAAATGGATCTTTTTGTTTCATTTTCTACCCAGTAGGCAAATTGATCAGCTCATTCTCATTGCAGGAGTCTTGTCTCCTGAATTGCCACCTAGAGGATGTTCTTCTGAAATCTGGCCATCTTCATCAAATCTGGGTCACAGCCACAAGAATGCCGTCTTCTCTGAGCAGATCTTGCATGATACACGTAGCTTGGCTTCCTTTTTTGGGGGTTGGGGGTAACAGAGTCGCCCAGGCTGGAGTGCAGTGGCGCGATCTCAGCTCACTGCACCCTCTGCCTCCCAGGTTCAAGCAATTCTCCTGCTTCCGCCTCCCGAGTAGCTGGGACTACAGGTGCACGCTGCCACGCCTGGCTAATTTTTTGTATTTTAGTAGAGACGGGGTTTCACCGTGTTGCCCAGGCTGGTCTTGAACTCCTGAGCTCAGGCAATCCACCTGCCTCGGCCTCCCAAAGTGTTAGGATTACAGGCATGAGCCACCACGCCTGGCCTTCGTGGCTCTTAATCACTGTGCATTGCTTGCTAGAACTGCAGAACTAATTTTTAAATACCAGTCGAAGAGTCTGTGTAAGTTTTAACATATTTTCAATTGGTGGTGCATTAACAGACTAAGTGGATATGCTCCCTTTGGGGACAATAGTGCTTTTATTAACCTCCCGAGTAATCTGACATCCTTTATTGTTTTCAAAATAAGTTTTCTATTCACTTTAGAAACCTGAAGTGATGTGTTAGCTGGGGCCTCTGGAGTAGTTGATCATCTCCAAGTGTCTCGGTGGTCATTACTGCCTTATCATTCACTGTCAAACCAAATTCATCAAGCATTTATTGAAATCTGAATATGTAGAAAGCATTTTTCTGTTAGGTTTTATGGGGAATATAGGAGCTAGAAATGCAGAATCTAAGAGCTTACAGTCTAGATCTGTGGTTTCAAACTTGAGTAGGGGCCTGGTGTTGTGGCTCACACCTGTAATCCCAATACTTTAGGAGGCCAAGGTGGGAGAATCCCTTGAGGCCAGGAGTTCAAGACCAGCTTGTTGCCCATCTCTATTTTTTGTAGAGATGGGCAACATAGTAAAACCCTGTCTCTAGGAAAATTATTGCCAGGCAAGATGGTGCACACCTGTGGTCCCACCTACTTGGGAGGCCAAGGTGGGAGGATGGCTTTCAACCCAGGAGTTCGAGGCTGCAGTGAATCTTGGTCACACCACTGCACTGCAGCATGGGCGACAGAGAAAGACCATGTCTCTTAAAAACTGAAAAACAAAAACAAAACTTAAGCGAGCATCAGAATTTACCTGAGAAAATGTTAAAACCACAGATTGTTGGGACCCACCCCCAGAGGTTCTGATTTGGTAGAACACGTTCCCATGGAGTGTTTTCATAGCCTGTCTGTTTTTTATGATATTGACATTTTTAAAGAATACAACCCTCTATCCCTCCTCTCACCTATTTTTTAATAGAACACTCCTTATTTGGGGTTTTAATAGAACACTCCTTGTTCTGATATTTCTTCATAATTAGATTCAGGCTACGAATTCCCACCCAGTCTACTACATAAATAATCATGTGTCCTTCTCAGGGTTTTATGGGAGACACAGATGTCCATCAGCCCTCACTGTTGATGTTAATTTTGATACACCCACCTAGTCGAGGCATTCCCTGGTTGC